TCCCAAATTTTATACTTTTATTATCTTTATTATAATTTAGACGGTTAATGGCAGTTCTATTGGAACTCGCATGGGACATTCGGCTGTTTTAGGTAAGTACACTGCATATGATAAAATAGAATAGAATAGAATAGAATAGAATAGAATACAGTATTAAATAAACAAACTGTCAATTTTGGTTTCATGTTATTTTCTAATTAGGTCAAAATGGTGATATTATTATGTATGGCGGTACAATATATAGTGAAGATGGTCCAGAAGGCCCACAAGCACTCCCTAATCTAGCTATTTTAAACACAAATTTCTGGGTATGGTCAGTACCAGATATCCCTCCAACAAATATTCCACAACCGCTCGCATATCATTCCGCTGCATTGTATAAAAATTACATGATTGTTGCATTTGGTACGTATGCCACTGTTATTATGTTTCGTATGTAATAACATTTAATATTACTGAAATTATTATATAATCAGGGATCGTAGCGTCGACAAGTGGCTTTTACAATAAAGACGTTTATGTTCTTGATACTCAAAAATATGTCTGGATTGCCATAAATAATACAGCAACTACTACCCAAGGTTCTTCAAAAAGTCAAAAAACTCAAACAAATAAAGCAGTAAATCCTTCAAACTCTTCATCTAATAATGGACTATTTATTGGAGTTGTTGTTGTAAGTGGGATTGTATTAATTGGAATGGCATCTTTTGCTGGACTTTTATTACTCAAAAGACGGCGTAAGAATTACAATAAATAGCAGATTTTATATATGTATGTTTTTACTAGCACAGAATCTTTATCATAAATTTCGTGTTTTTTTTTTCTTTTTTTCTTAATATATCATAAAATAATTGTCCTAACTATCATACAAAGAAAATGTAATGCAATATTCAATTAAAAAAAAATTATTTAAGACCGGTTATTATATGTTTTTACATAGCAAATGTTTTAAAACTTGATAGTTCTTTAAATATAACTAAAATTATTCCTTTAATATAATAAAAGTTAGTTTGTTTTTTTTTTTATAGTAAATACATTATTTATAAATAAAATACAGTATAGCACAATTTATACTAAAATTTTGTAAAGAAATATTTTATTTGATTTTTATTAGAGCTCCGAGCGTGTCCGGAGTTACAGTATAACTTAATCTTAACCAAACCAATAATTTTAGATTGCTAGACAATTTAGACTTTTGTATGCATTTCATAGATAACGTTCTGAAACTTTTTTCAGGAGCGCCAAATTCCATACATTAATATACAAATATGATTTTTTTAATACTAATAATGAAATTTTATTTATAAAAATTGGAGTTTAACAAATAAAAAAATATCGAATTTTATAAAGTTTGCTAATCAGTCGAATATTATTTATCAATAGTTTATCTAGTTTTATATTATGCTAAAATAAATAAATGAGGTAAAAAAATTAAAATAAACAAATAAAATTTTTGCCAAAAAAATTCAATGTCAAATATTATATAAAATTACCTTTTTTATTTATATTCTTTTTATAAATTTCTTCCAAATATTGTACATCAACAACATATTCTGTTAAAAATAGTTGTAATGAATCAAGTCTTCTTTTTACTTCATGCTTTTTCAAATTATTAGTAATTTTTGAGTGATGCACTAATGGAATAACTTCAAATGCACTTTTCAATTTTGTTTGTACTGAATTATTTATTTTAAAGCCATATTTTTGAATCAATCCCCATGGTTTAATAGCAATGGTACCTAAAATATAAAATTAATATTATTTATAATCATTATTAAAGTACAGATAATAATTTAATATAATCTAATACTTGCCAAAAAGTACTGCATAAATGGTCGCAGCAAATCCCCATGCGCCTCCGATTAAGCCAAGTGAATTTATAACCTAAATTAAATTATTTTTTTTACAAATGTAATTTAATTTTAAGTAGGTCATATAAAATTTTTGATACTTACAGTCATCATCCTTTTTAAAAGATTATGATATATATGACATAGATTGTGAATTATTGGTAAGTAAGCGATTTATGAAATTAAACCTAATTCAATATTTTCAATATAAAAAACACCTTTTATCAGTTTCAACTTGAACAATAAATGATTGCGGTTCAATGGTTATTTTCGTAAGTAATGTTAGAGAATTAACAGTATCATTTAAAAGTGGAAATGTTTCTTGTAAATATTATACAAAAAATAATAATTTATGTTAGCTTAATATATGTTTAATAGAAATAATGAATAATAATTACATACCCATTGTCGACGTTATATACTCTATACGTTCAAGTTTAGATGAAAATCCTATATAATTTTGCCAACTTGGAAGCATAATTTCTTTTCTTCTTCTTTTTATTTTAGTTTTGTATTCCTATTAATAAAAATGATAAATAAATGAATCATGAGCCATGTCAATTCATATATCAAACTAAGTTGACTCGGTTTATTCAACTGCTCAAAACATGAGTCTTGATTATTTCTAAAACTAGTCAAATTTTATGAATATTTACACTGAATGCTGCAAGGCTATACTGATTTAAGGTAAGAATCGTTTCAGGAAGTTTTGAAATTGTTGGAAGTTGGAGTGACACAATTAAGTCGTGTTCATAGTTTATATAAAAATCTATTTAAATAAAGATAATGCGTTATATATTGCTTAAGCATAACTTATTTTTTTTTGGACAAAGAACAAAAAAAGTTTTTCTCAAATACTTTAATATTTTAAAAATAAAAATAAATTTCATTGCAATATACTTATAATATACTAACCTGCATCATTCATACTAAAGATTACAAACGGTAGTATTGTGCTATCACTTAAATTATAACTAGTATCATTTAAATAAACCTTAAATTCCAAAGAATTTATTCCATTATTGGAT